GGCGGTGCCAGAGTCGATGCTGTCGGCATTGATGTCAGCTGAATTGGCGCGGGCGTCGAGGCAGCTGGCGTCGGAGCCGGAGTCGGGGCTGGCGATGGTGTCGGCGTCGGCACTGGCGACGGTGCTGGAGTCGGTGCCGGCGTCGGAGCCGGTCTCGTCCTTCGGAAGCACTTCCAGAATCTCCTGGAAAACAGGTGATGAAGCAGTCTGCACCTGCTTTGATGTTGGGTCGCACGGTCACCCCGCCGTAACCGATGAAGGCCGCCGCGGGCCCCTGCGTGCGCTCGTCCATGGCGGTGGCCCTGTCGCCGAACAGAATCATGGTCTTGTAGCCGTGCTTGCGCTTCATCATGTTGAGAACCTTAGGCTTACCGCTGGAGGAGGCTGTGGGATTCGCCTTGTCGAAGCCCGCGTACTGGCCGTCCTCATCGAACAGCACCTCATTGGCGTACATCTTGTTCTGGGGGATGTGCAGGTCCAGCGCCAGGGGGTGGAGCGTGATCGTGAAGCCAACCGAATCGAGGTACACCTCGGTGCCCTGCTTGTGGAACACCTTCATGACCTCCTGCACCCAAGGCGACCACTGGGGAACGCCCTCCTTGACGACGCACTCCTCCAGAGCATCCCTGGTCATGCCATGGTCGGCCATGAGCTGCAGCCTGTCGGCCATGGCGTCCGGGAACTCCACGTTCACGTCCACGGCCTTGCGGGTCAGCTCGGCGATCTCTTGCATGACCCCGAAGCACTTGCCCATGAGGTCGATGCCCTCCGTCTTCACCACCGTGCTGTCCACGTCGAAGAAGACCGCGTCCGCCTTGAGCAGCAGCCCCTTGACGCGATCGACGGACTCGGGGGGCCCAGGCTCTGGGTCGGCGTCCCCGAACAAGAACGCCCGCGAGCCGCCCCAGGCGCCCAGCCCGCCGAGCAGGGCGAGCAGCCAGGCGCGGCTGCGGCGAGGGGCGGCCATGGCGGCGCTGGGCGCGGAGGCTGGGCCGGAGGATGGCGGATGGGGTGAGGGGGAGGGCGGCAGGCGGAGGGGCCGCGCGCGGCCGCAGAGCCGGGATTTGCTCTCTTGAGCCAGCAGAGTGGCCAGCAGCAGAGCCTGCTGCTGGCCACTCTGGGGCCATCTTTTTAAAGCGATGCTTTCTTCTTCGGATTCGTATTATTACCCGTCTTATCATCATTGTCATTATTGTTGACACTATCGTGACTATACTCCTTCTTCTTCACATTGCAGGACGATGCGATGAACGCGCACCCTACCTGCCCACTACCGCAAATGCACCCTCAAACCCAATAGTGTCGTGATTCGAATCTCCAGAGCCCACTCCATAGACGTCGCTTCTGCCAGAAACGAAGAATCCGTCTGCCCGAAATGCTTGCCTGCCAAGAACAGAAGCCGCCCCTGGCTCAGATGCTGGCATGCGTATACAGCCATGCCGCCGGCAGACTGCGCGTCGCCTCTCTGCGCGCCATCAACACTCACACACACACTCGAAGGCAAGTGCCCTGCATCTGGGCGGTTTCGATCAGTCCTCGATCTTGCCATTCCCAGTCTCGTCTCACGTCGAGGGCGACATTCGCCGCGTCATTGGCGACTGTGTTGAACTCCCGCTTGTTCCGTTCGGTGAATGGCTTTGTGTCTAGCCAGGGAAAACAACCCGACGTCAGCAGGGAGTGCAAATGTCGGCCAATACGAAGGAAGAGCGGCCGCGTCCAGGGATGATCCAATCGAGCGGACCACGCGCAGATTTGCTCCAGCATCTGATTGCCAGTCTGAAACCAAATACGCCGAGAAATGTTCCAGTAGGCCTCCTCCGGGTTCTTCACGAGTGCCGGTATGTCATGTATGTCGCTGTGTAGACGCGCCCGCTTCAGCGGCCGTCCTACGCAATGCTCGATAGGAGTCGCTGGCGGCCCCCAGATCACAAAATACTCTCTCTTGAAAGGCTGGGAGCAGTAGCAGAGGTCGCGCATCCGTCTCGCTGGCCTCTCCACTCCGCTCCCCACGCGTGCGCAAATATGGACTCCCAACTTGTTGGTTGTTGCCCACAGCGGCTGTGCACCAATCCTAATTTCCTCCGCTTCCACTTGGTACTGAATGCTGATTCTGTTTCCCACCACCGAGCGCTCCGGTACCCGTGCAAAGCGTGCATCAAGGACTGCCCATCGTCCACAGTGAAGTGCGTCTCCTTCCAAGCTCGTTTGAAGAAATGCTTCAAAATCCTGGCGTAGATGGTGGTTGTGCCAGTCCGGTGTGTCCTGTCCTCGATAATTCGCGCGGCCCTGACATTGTACCCTAATGCCCCGTCCTCCCGTCGTCTCCGTAGTTTGACAGCTGTGCGCAAAAGCCGAAGTTCCCAGCGCCGTGCGGCATGCAATAATCCTGGCGTCAAATGCCGCGTGTCGCAACTTAACGCTGCAATGGCCGAGGGCCCCCGGGACCATGCTTGGAGGCGTAAATTCGCACTCAGAAAACGTCGCAATGCTTGTAGTAATAGCGGTCTGCGCGGCCAAAGTTGCGCTCCAAGCTGGTCAACGAGCTCCCATTGGGATCAAGAGTGTCCCCAAGTAGTTAGTTCCAGCCTGTCTGTTCCGCAATAGTTCAAAATCTGCCCGTCCTGCTGTAGCCGGATCGCATCCTGTCCACCCGAACCCAAGCACCCCCCTCGCAAATACTCCAAAGAAGACGGTTTCCATGCGAAGTGCCTCTCACCGCACCACTCCAAGAAGGTGCCGAATGCCGTGTTCAAGTCGATCACCATGTGCTGCATCATGGCGAACGCGGTGGCGAAAATAACCACATTATCTCCAAAATCGCATGGCTGACAAAATGCCCATCCCGAGCGTTCGCCATATGTTAACGACTGGCTGCACGATATGTTGAGCAACGTGTTCCATTCAAGTGGCGTCTCCACACCCCTTTACTTGCCTCCCCTGGCGAAGCTGAAACCCAGAACGCTCCCAACCAGTGGCAACGTGATCTTCCCCTCTATCCCCGTGAGCTCGAACATCAGTAGAGCCGTCTCCCAGGTATGCACTCCGCGCGCGAGCAAGGATTTCAGCACGAGCTCGCGAAGCATCGAATCGAATGCCGTCGCCGAGTCTTGGACCGCAATGAGCACGGGCAGTTTCCACAACCTAGTCTGATATATGATCTCCCTCGCAACCCCCGTGGAGTCGGAGGTGACCGCCGATTTCCTTAAGCCATAGAAATGCCCTCGCGACGGCATGAGCTGTTTTTGGATTCTGGGCCGGGTCGCACGCAAGAGCAATTGTTGCAGTACTGGAGATTGGCCAGTCCACCGTAAATCAGGGAACGTTCTGACGAACTTCTGCGTCGGTACCCCAATTAGCTCAAGGACCTTCCCAAACAAAAAGCGACGATACGAACGTATCCAACGACCCGGAGTACTCAGAGAAACATTGGTGC